TCGAACTTCTGCGACAACGGTTGCGCACCTGCCAGGGCCATCATCCCTGTCAAATAATACCATGCGGGACACATTCGTTTTTTCTTCGCGCGCGCACGCCGAAATCTCCAAAAACCATTGGGCTTCTTAAGAATTTTAGCACCGCGCATCATAAAATCACACGAATCGCACCGTAGGTCCTCGAAAAACACCTGCACGACTTTTCAAAATTTCTACCCGCGCGCGCTGTCCTAACAACTTCTGTGGGTGTGTACTCCACGCCAGTGTAGTAGCCACGGTCGTCCGCAGGCCACGAAGTGAAGTGTCCGAACGTCATAGGGCGGGAAGCTGGGTGTGGGTGGTGGCGAAGAGTCGTGTGGATATTTGGTAGAGCTTGCACTGCCCCCCCACAAAGTGGGGGTATTGGCTGGCGTCGCATGAAAACCCTGGCACTGGTGAGAACACTGAGCGTTCGGGTAAAGTGATTGTTGGTGTTGTTGTTGTTGTTCGTATTGATGTTGTTATTGTTATTGTTATTGTTCTTGTTATTGTTCTTGTTGTTGTTGTTGTTGTTGTTGTTGTTGTTGTTGTTGTTGTTGTTGTTTGTTGTCGTCGTCGTCCCACCCGCGACCCACCCCGCGACCCACCCCGCGACTCACCCATCCCAACCCGCGACCCACCCGCGACCCACCCCGCGACTCCCCCGCGACCCACCCGCGACTCACCCGCGACACACCCCGCGACCCACCGGCGACCCACCCCGCGACCCAACAGCGACCCACCCCGCGACTCCCCCGCGACCCACCCGCAACCCACCCGCGACCCACCCCGCGACCCACCCCGCGACCCACCCGCGACCCACCCCGCGACCGACCCCGCGACCCACCCCGCGACCCACCTTCAACGGAGGAGAAACCACCCGCAACCCACAATTGACGTTTACTACATGGCCCTGGGCGTTTACTAAACAGCTCTGCCCTGTTCCATTCATTCCTTGTGTGCGTTTACTAAACGGCTTCGCTTCTCGGGGTGATTCTTCTGGGGTGAACTTCCTGGCCTGTACGACCGCGACCCACCCGCGACCCAACAGCAACCCACCCGCGACCCATTTGCGACCCACCCGCGACCTACCTACATTGGTTTAACGGCGCCTGCGGTGGGCTCGTTGCATCATTTGTGAAACGTTGGCGCCTGCGGCGGGCTTCTCCAGAGTCTCGCAATCTGCCGACGTCCCCACTGCTCCCTCACTGTTGTCTGTATCTGCGAGGTGCTACGGTATGTGTATATATCTTTGAGTTTATACATGAGACCTAGAATTTTTCGCGCGCTCTCTGCGGGTGCGAACATTTCTAGGTAGCCCTATGCCTTGGAAGCAAGCGCAACGGCTGAAACAGAAGCGGTAAGCTCTCTAGGAGCGCTCGCGGGCTCGTGTCGACAGTGCTTTCATACCAGTCAATTGTTCTGCGCAGAGGTGCGAGTCAGATGTGTCGTCGCCCTGAGCGCTCCCCCTGCATCCTGTCGTTCTCATATTATCTCCACGGCGAATCTCTCAATCCCTCGCTCACTCCGCCTTGCCGTCCCCGCCCCCCTCCAATGAACTCATTCTCATTTTGCAGTGCCGCCATTTGCTATATTATTCCCATCCATCCTGTGGTGTTGGGTCCTCGTTTTGAAAGGACGGTACGGTACCCGCGTTCCTCCTTCTCCTCCTCTTCCCCCTCCTCCCTACCGTCCGCATGCGTCCCGCACACCGAGTACAGCGTTTCGGGAGCCCCACCGACGGTCCCAGTGCTACCGTCCGCATGCGCCCAGCACACCCAGTACAGCGCTTCGTGGCCCAGTAAGGAGCTCTACCGAAGGTCCCAATGCTACCGTCCGGATGCGTTCCGGTAACCCAGTACAGCGCTTCGTTGCCCCATAGGGAGCCCCACCGAAAATCTCAGTGCTACCGTCCGCATGCGTCCCGCACACCCAGTACAGCGTTTCGTGGCCCTCCTCCTCTTCCTCCTCCCTGCGTTTCACCCACCCAGTACAGCGCTTCATGGCCCCATAGGGAGCCCCACCGAAGGTCCCAGTGCTACCGTCCGCATGCGTCCCGCACACCCAGTACAACGCTTCGTGGCCCAATAGGGAGCCCCACCGAAGGACCCAGCGCTACCGTCTGCATGCGTCCCGCACACCCAGTACAGCGCTTCGTGGCCCCATAGGGGGGCTCCACCGAAAATCTCAGTGCTACCGTCCGCATGCGTCCCGCACACCCAGTACAGCGTTTCGTGGCCCTCCTCCTCCTCCTCCTCCTCCTCCTCCTCCTCCATGGGTTTCACCCACCCAATACAACGTTTCGTGGCCCCATAGGGAGCCCCACCGAAGGTCCCAATGCTACCGTCCGCATGCGTCCCGCACACCCAAAACAGCGCTTCGGGGCCCCATAGGGAGCCCCACGGAAGGTCCCAGTGCTACCGTCCGCATGCGTCCCGCACACCCAGTGCAACGTGTCGTGGCCCTCCTCCCCCCCTCCCCAGTACACCGCTTCGTGGCCCCATAAGGGGGCTCCACCGAAGGTTCCAGTGCCCCCGTCCGCATGTGTCCCGAAAGCCCAATTTTACATTTTCACCCACCCAGTGCAGCGCTTCGTGGCGCCATAGGGGGCTCCACCCAAGGACCCAGTGCCACCGTCCATATGCGTCCGGGAAATGTAATTTGGCATTATCACTCGCGCAGTGCAGCGTTTCGTGGCCCCATAAGGGGGCTCCACCGAAGCCCCCAGTGGGACCGTCCGCATGCGATCCGGTAACACAATTTGGCATTTTCACTCACTCAGTAGAGCGCTTCGTGGCCCCAAAGGGAGCCCCACCGAAGGTCCCAGCGCTACCGTCCGCATGCGTCCCGGAAACCCAATTCGGTACACCACCCACACAGTATAGCGTCCCCCCCCGCCCAGTGCAGCGCTTCGTGGCGCCATAGGGAGCTTCACCGAAGCAGATATTCACAATTACGGTACCCACAACTGCACATGGTGGGGACCTTCGCCAGGATAATCTTACTTATGTGTTGCTTCAGTGTTTAATTCGTCTGCGAATCTGGCCAGCCCTTGGGGGCGTGAGTGGCCGAGCGAGGTAATTGTTCTCACTCCTTCCTTCCGCTTCGGGGAGAGGGGTGCTTCTCTCTCTCCTCTCCGTGGGTCTGAACCCTTCCCTCAGCGCGTCAGGGCGTCCAAGGAGGCTTAAACTGGCTCCGAGAGGGATCCAAGCCGCAAAAGATGGCTTCAAGATCTGTGAAAGTAGCCCAAGATGGTCCAATATAGCTTCCAACATGCCGCCTAGAGGCCGCAAGACCGCTCCAAGGCGGCTACCTGTGGCCAAGGAGTCCCTGGCTGGGTTGCCGAAGCCAATCTGGCGCCAATCTGGCAGGCCCAATCTGGCAAACGGGGGCAATCTTGCGAGGGAGCCAACGCGAATCCAGTCTGGCGAATAACCCAAATCCTTCAATATGGCCAGGCCAGATTGGCCCTTGGGGCCCAATCCAGTCTGACAGTCTGGCCTTCGACTACCCAGCCTGGGTGACTGAAAGTATGCTGAAACTTCTTCGGACATATGCGGATCTCCTGGGAGCCTCTTGAAGGCGCCTTGGAGGCCTCTGGTGGGGGCCCCTGGTGGGAGCCTCTTCGGGTCCCTTGGGGGCGTCTTGGGGCATCTTGGGGGTCTCCTGGGAGGCGTCTTGGACGCCTCTTGGGGGCGAGGCCTTTGGGGGGCGGTCTTGGACGCCTCTTGAAGGCGCCTTGGGGGCCTCTGGTGGGGGCCTCTGGTGGGAGCCTCTTCGGGTCCCTTGGGGGCGTCTTGGGGCATCTTGGGGGTCTCTTGGGGGCGTCTTGGACACCTCTTGGGGGCGAGGCCTTTGGGGGGCGTCTTGGACGCCTCTTGGGGCCTCTCCGAGGTCTCTTGGGGGCCTCTTAGGTCTTTGGAGCGTATTGGGGGCCTGTTGAGGGGACTCTTGAGCGCCTCTTGCGGCTTCTTGGGGTCTCTTGAATGCGTATGAGAACCTCTTGGGGTTCACCTTGAAGCCGCGGGAACGCATCTCAGGCAACAAATCTGGAAATTGTCATTATGAGTTTTACTGATCTTAATTCCTCGGGCTCCTCCCTGGAGGCGTTTTGAGAGCTTCTTGGGCACTCTCGGGAGCGCAGTCGGCCGTTTTGTGAGCATGTTGGGCCGTATTGAAGCAGTCCTGGGCCGTCTCGGGAGCCTCCTGAACTGTCCTGGAAGCTATTCGGGCCGTCTCGGACGGCCCCCCATTCCCCGCAACGGGCATGGGGAACTGATATCTGCCCTTACGGCCCCTGGCCCTTGAGCATGTATGGATGTACGTATGCATGTATGTGTGTAGGTCGGTCGGTCGGTTCGGCAAGTAGGTAGGTAGGTAGGTAGGTAGGTAGGTAGGTAAGTAGGTAGGTCGGTCAGTAGGTAATTAGGTTGGTAGGTCGGTAGGTAGGTCGGCAGATGGTAGGTAGATAGGGCGGTAGGTCAATATGTAGTGGAGTTTGTGTATGAATGTATGTAGGTAGGTGGGTATCAACGTAGGTCGGTAGGTGGGTAGGTCGGTAGGTAGACGGGAAGGTAGGTAGGTAGGTAGGTAAGTAGGTAGGTACGTAGCTAGGTAGGTTGGTAGGTTAGGTAAGTAAGTAGACAAGTCGGTCGGTAGGTACATCAGCAAATCTGTAGGTAGGTAGGGTAGGCCGGTCGGTAGGTAGATAGTAAGGTGCGTATACACACATCTATGTGTGTTTATGTATATGTGTGTATGTGTGTGTTGACATGTGCTCACATGAAATCTTGCAACCAACGCGTGCAAGTAGAGTGCGAGTGCGCCAGGGATGGGGGAGGGGGAGCTGGAAAACAAGGGGGGGGTCCCCGCAAGGCTGGGGCAGGGTCCTGGAGAAGCCCATGCAATGGGCACTGAGATTCCAGGCGCTCGACCCATACACAGGAGGGACGAGAGGAAAACGACGAGGGATGGAGCGGGACTTCGGCGTTGCGCCGCGAGATGCTGGTGAGCGAAGCGGACTCGGAGTCGTTGCCCTGCTGCGCGGTGTCGCGGGGCGCCACAGTCACCTGCGCCCCCTCTGTTTCCTCCTCTGGTGCCTAAAGCAGCAAGAGGAGGAGGGAGGAAGAGGAGGAAAGCGAAGGAGGAGAGAGAATGAGAGAGAAGGAGGATAGAGGAGAAGGAAGAGGAGATATGATAAGACACGACTATGGGCCCGCAACTCTCGGTTGCGGTTCCACAAGGCTGCGCTCGACGCACAACCACCAAACATGGAGCGTTCAAAGCAAGAGGCTGCGATTTGAACTACAATATCGACCACATCAGGGAGTGCGCCCGTCGGGCGACAAAACAATGCCCCATGAGGATCGAGCACGGCCCAGTGGGGCCTGACGGACCGAGAAGCTGGGTCCCAGGGACACGCGCACCGACGAATGAGGCGCGGCGAACCCGAGACAGGGAGGGACAACAGGCCCAAAGGCCGAACAACAAATTCACGGTACCCCCGCGGAGCCGAGGCCGGCGAGAGGAGCCAGAAGGCAAAAGGGAGGACAGCGAAGGGAGCGAGTGCAAAGGAACCGGCAGCGGAGGGGCGCCCAGGGTCGGCGGCGAATGCGATCGGAGGCTCACCCCACAGCGACAGCTGCGATAAGTAAAAAAAACGGGGCCAGGCCGTGCACGAAGAGCCCCTGGAAGCCAAGGTCATCGACCCACACGAGCACGATGATGCTCCAAAGGCGGCACAGCACGAGGCCCACGTCATTGACATGGCAGAACACGTAGGCGCAGAAATCGAGCGACACGAGGTAGGGCCCAACAGCGGCTCCGCGTCCGAGCAGCGTCCAAAGGAAGGGCACCACGTGGCCCCATCGAGCTGCAACACAACTGCGACGACTGAACCTAGACGGCGCTAGGATTTGCCAGTGCGAGCTGCAGCAAACAGTGACGACCGAACCTGGGCAAGCTAGGATTAAACCAATTCGAACTGCAGCAAAACAGTGACGACCGAACCTAGCCAAGCTAGGAGTCTGCGGCAGGAAGGAGTCAAACTAGCCCTATGCCTCGCCGTTGACCGCGTTCTGAATGACCTCCTCCATTGCGCCTGTCGGCGCCGCGCCCAGGGCCCCGCGAACCCCGACTTCGGCCGGCGCTGTTTGAAGCAAGCTGCGGACGCGCGCGGGCGAAGGCAGAGGCTGCTCGTCGGACTCGGGCGAGGGCCGGTCCATCGGCGCCTCCCGCATCATGATGTGAACCTTGCGGTTCGACAAGTGAGAGCCCTTCATCGCGCGGGAGAGACGAAGGATGTTGTGCAACTCGTCCGGCTGCAACTCCACCCAAGCTTCGGCGCGCCACGCCTTAAGCAGCGAGCGCGTCCTCTGTCCCAGCGCGACTCCACGCTCGAAAGAGTCGGCGAGAAACCCATTGAAGATATGCAGATGAGGAGGACCCTGCTGGCGCCCTCTCCCACGGGCTCGGACTTCTCGTGAATACGTCGCCCCGCTTCCCGGAGCCGCGCCAGTCTCCGGGGCGCCCGCGCCCGCGAAGAACGCGCCCACCCCCGCCGCCCACGGGTCGCGAACCATCTGCGTCGTCAGGAAGACCTGCTTGAGCAGCGCATCGATGATGCCCGCCTGCTTCTTGTTGAAGCGCGCGTCCTTCACCTTGCCGAAGTGCCCGTCGCGAACCCCCCCGTCGCCCTCGTCGTGCTGCTGGCCGCCCACGACGGCGAGCTGCGCCGCGGAAGTTGATGGCGTTGCGCCGCCCCCGCTTGACTTGTTGGGAGGCTTGACGTTGCCCGCGGGAGGGGCGCCGTCTGCCTCGGACTCGGCGGCCGCCCGCTTGGGCAGCTGCCACTTCGGCGTCGCCATCCCTCGGCGCGGCGCGCCCCTGCACGAAAGGGAGGTGCAGCTTGCGGATGTGCCGCTGGGGCTGAGCCAAATCGGCGAAGGAGTCGAGCTTGCAGACGGGGCGCTCGAGCTTGGGGGGTGCGACGGGGTGGACTGCGTGGACCGACTCGGCGGCGAAGAACCCTCGATAGAACGCTCGGCAGGGGCGCGCCTTGGAAGTCTTTTGGAAAGCGAAGGAAAACAGACGCGCAGGGCGCTCATTAGCAACCGCACATCTAATGCAGCACGAGAAATCGCCCTGGGACCCCTCGGTAGCGCACGTCTAGCGCGCGATGTTCATTTCCAGAAGTGCAATCGCACTTGTAGACGCAGCCCGCGGGGCCCTGGAACTCGAGAGAGGACTCGTTGCATCCGGGGTCCCGCCTCCGAGAATCGAGAGGGTCGTCGGGGCCGAAGGCGTCGAGCTCGGCGCGGCCGACCTGCCAAAACTCACGCGGCGCCGAAACGTCAGCCGAGAGAAACATGCGCGAAACTCGCCATGAAAGAGTTCGCGCGCGCTCTCCTCGCAGCCCAGTGAGCAACCCGAAGGGGTCAGCGTCCAAGACGAACCGGGCAGCGAAGGCATTGGCGCAATCCGTAAGCCGAACCCGGAGCAACGCAGGATATTCCACGTAGCCGAACTGCCCAGACAAGAGGGCCGCGACCCGGTGGTGCTGGCCAGGCCAGCGAACGATGGCCCCGTACCAACATAGCCTCTGAATCAGGAGGTCCGCGTGCGTTTGCGCGATGCCCCACTTCTAGACTCGGCGGTTCTTCCGAGACTTAGGGCGGACCCCCGACCGATCGCGCGTGGCGCCTGCCGCCGGACAATGCAATTTCCTGGCAGCGCAATGTCTAACTGGGCCTCTTGGGCCTCAGCGAAAAGATGCGGGGTGAGGCCAGACGATGGCGCGCCCTGCGCAACCGATATGAACGCCCATCTCTTCATCTTGAACGGGGCCCCCGCGGGCCACAGAAACTTACGCGAGAGCCAGCCGCGGTTGGCCGCTCGTTTGCTCGGGCGCAGACGATGGGAAAACGCCCCCAACGGCAGGAACTGGGGCCCGAGATGATGCGCGCGGGGGGCCGCGCTGGCGCCCCCAAGCTCGGCAGAATGTGGCGTTATAGCCGCAGTGGCGAGGGGCCAGGACCTGCATTATATTGCTCTGGCAGGAGCTAAATGAAAGCGACCAAGCCCCCGGGAAGGCCCGAGCCCTGACGACCGAAACGGCTTCCGCCAGGAAGCCCGAAGCCAGGAACAACAAATAAGCATGGTCATCCACGTACTTGAACCATAAACGTCAACATCGCAAATAGCACAGCGAGCGACAAACTGGGGGTCGACTCTGATCCTGCCAGCAGCCGGCCCGGAGGTCCCGCAAAGTCAGCTCGAAACTCGCTGGGGGCACTGGGTTCCCCCATGGGCCCCGCTTCGGAGGTGAAGGTGTGCGCGCTGGCCCGTGCCGTCTACGCGTGGCGCGCCTGTCCGCAAGGAGACCGGCGCCAGCCGAGGGAGTAAATCAATGTGGTCCCTGGTCCATGCGAGCGCGTGCGCAGCAGCCGAAAGCAATATTCACGTCGTCAAAAACAGCGACATGCCAGACCCGTGCCGGGCGTGAGCGTTCCGACAGCACGCGCGCTCCGAGCGCGGCGTTCTCTCTCCCGCGGTGCGGGGCGCGCCCGCGGTTCAATTCGCCGGAGTTGCCGCGGCGCGCAAGACGATGGATGCCGCGGGTCACGGCTCTGACAAAAAGGGCCGAAGCCGCGCAGGAAGCGCGCGCCGCTGTCGGACGCGGGGGTCTGCCAGCCAATCGAAAAGCCCGCGCGCGGAGAAAGCCTCTCGCGCGCACTCGAGCACGCGGCGAGACCCCCGGGCCCAGCTGCGACGCGACCCACCTCGGGAGGGGCAAGCTCGGCGCCAGAGGGGGCGGGGCGGGGCTCGTTGAAATACTCGCGCTTCAAAGCATGAGCCAGATTCCCCCGGGCAACGACTGCGGGGGAGGAGAGCGTCGGCGAGACGAGCGGCGAAGCGCCCATGAGTCTTAAAGGCACCCCCCCCACCCAGAACTCTGGCCGAATCCCTCGCGCGCGCGCCTCGCGGGGCCAGCGAGCCTCGCTCCTAAAGGGGCGCGCCCACGGGGGCCTGGGCCGCGGAGGGCCCGCCCTCGTCCCCAGGAAGCACGTGGGCGCCTGTGAATTCATCGGCGCAGCTGCGACGCTTGGGGCCAGGCCCGTGCCCGCGAGGCGAGGAGTCAGATGGTGCACCATGGCGACGTCTCGGCGGCGCCCACCGTCGCACCTCCCAGCGGATGCGGCTGGAGAAGTCGCGGATCTGGGAGTCGAAAAACGCGCGGGGCTCGGCCAGACGCCGAGCCCGCTGTCGAAGCAAGAGGCAGGCACGCGCGCGGTGCTCAGCTAGGGCCGCGTCAGGAACGCGGCGGGCATGGCCGAACCGCTTCTTGGCGATGGGCTTGGCGACAGACATGAGCGCGCGGTGCCCGTCATTGACGCGGTCGGCCTCCAGGAAGGCCAAGAAGGTGGGCTCGTGCATCTTCGTGGCTCCGTTCAGCTCAGACAAGAAACCCTCTCGCAAGCCAGGAGGGGTCTGGAGAGCCAGCTCGATCGCGTCGAAGTTGCAGGCCAGGGCGGCCGCGAAGTTGAACAGGCCGGGGGCGCCGGCGTAGATCTCGAGCAGAAGGGGGGCGTGGTCCCGCAGCGCGCGCTCGCCAGGGAAGAGCTGGAGAGCCCGCGCGGCCTTCGTCATCGTCACCAGCTTGCTGATGCGCGGGCAGGCCCCCATGGGCAGCGCGATCTGGTCGATCCACGCGGCGCTCTTCCCCCCATAAAAGGACGGCGCGAGCTTCTGAAGTGTAGTAGCGCAGCCCAGGTAGTGTCGATGCATCCACTCGCGGAGGCAGCGGGCCGCATAACCCATGCGCTCCTGTACAAACAGGCCCACGCACCGAAACGGGTCGGTAGAATCGTCCGCAACGAAAGAGTCGCTCAATTCCGTGAAGATGAGCGGCGCCGGTTTCTCGGGCGTGGTGTCGAACTGCGCACCCAGCCACTCGATGAGAGCACCCACAGTGCGTTTCCATGTAGACTGCGTGCCGCGGGGGCCAAGCGGCGGGAAATCGATCGCGACAGTCGTGAGGTCGAGCGAACCCGAAGTGACGCGGGCGAGCCCCGCACGGCCACGAACGGCGGCAGGGCCAGGAACTACACGATGCAAACGAATCGCCAGGTCACGCCTCCGAAGCCCGATGCTGACACCCGCCGAGCGGCTGGTGAAACGCCCTCTCCCGCATCCGAAGTGCACGTCGTCGTGGCCCGCGACGTTGGACTGGCGACGAATCTCCTCGGAAGGCGGGGCGCGAGCCTGGTGCCTATCAGCACATGGAAGGAAAAGTGACGGGCGAACACTGCGATTTCTTCGAGCAGTCTCGGCAGCACACATTGTACCCAAACATGTTCCAGCGCATGGGCCCTCAGAGAGCCCTGCCAGGGTCAAGCAGCAACGAACGTCGGTGCAGGACCCTACTCGGTCGGGAAGGTGTCGGCGTGCAGCCTTCAGCGGGGGTTGCCAAAAACGGCCCACCTGGAGGAGGAGGAGGAGGAAGAAGAGGAGGAGGAGGAGGAAGAAGAGACGGAGGAGAGACGAGTAGGGATGATGGATGGAAGGAGGGGGGGAGGAAAAAGAGGCGGACGAGGAGAATGGAGGAAGGAGGAGGCAGGAGGGGGAGGGAGAGGTCCCCCTCGGACGCCCGACATCATCGGAATCGTCATGTCTCATGTTTCTTCATCGTCCAGCTCCAACTCCTCCTCGATCTCCAACCCTTCCAGGAACTTCCACGACGCTGGTGAGAAGGACGAGGAGAAGGATGGAGGAGGCAAGGATGCTCGCGAACAAGATTCGGACTTTTTGTTCGCGAGAGTTCACGAAAGTACCACAAACTCTGGAGCCTCACAACGAGAGGCCCCGCTGCTGGCGTGAAGGTCGACTTGCTGCCGAGGTCGGGGTGCCCCTGGGAGGAGGAAGCCGAGGAGCCCCCCAGGGCTGGTTTTCGCAGACGTGAGCTGTCTGATAGCGTGGACGTCTAGCAGTAAGCCTTCGCACTCTGGATGCGCAGCCCACGTGGTGCAACCTATGTGGTGCAATCTAACTCGTAGGACCTAAGTTGCGCGAGCTATGTGGTGCGAGCTGTGTGGTGCGGGCTATCTGGCTCAGCCCACGTTGCACAGCCCATGCGCTGCAGCTGCCCCCCTGAAGCCCCAGAGGCCCCTGGAGGCTTCCGAAGCCCAACATAATGCCACACACCTTCAAACATGATATAAGCCATCAGCCACCCCCACTCTGCCCTGAAGGAGCAGCGGCCGTGGCTCTTCAAGCAGGCCCCGACCCCAGGTCCACCCAGCCGCCGCCCTGCGTCGCGAGCTGGCCGCGCAAGGACTTGACGTAGTCCTTGGGGAATCCAAACGGTACCGATGCTGCAGCTCCCCAAACCTCTCCCAGGGTGCGTTCTGACCAGGATCTCGAGGAGAGTCCAGCGGCGGCGACGAGGGCCTCCCAGGAGGCCCCCAAAGGGGAGCACGAGGGAAGGGCAGCGGTATGGGTACTCCAGATTTCGTCATAAAAGGGAGGGGGTCACAACCCTCCCAGACGAGAAGCTTTAGACCCCCCAGACTATCCATAAAAGGGCGGCCCTTTGCCCGGACCCCCCCCGAACCCTCCAAGACAGCTCAAATTAGACCCCCCCGCCAAATGTACCCCCCCCACTTTACTATGGAATCTGGAGTACTCCAGATTTCGTAATAAAAGGGAGGGGGTCTAGTAGACCCTCCAAGACAAGCCATTTCAGACCCCCCCCGTGGGAGAACCCTCCCAAACATCGTCCCCAGACCCCCCCAGGCCCTCCAAGATAGCCTGGAAGAGACCCCCCCCGAAATGAGACCCCCCTCCCTTTACTACGAAATTCGGAGTGCCTTTTCCTCCTTTGCGTCCTCGTAGCCGATCTCCCCGCGCGCGAACTGCGTGTACGGCGTGGCGTTGGGCACCTCTGGGGCCCGCGGGCGGCGACCCCGCCCCGGAGCCTGCGCCCTCGCGGCCCCTCGTCCTCGCGGCCTCGTGCGTGGTCGTCCCACTCCTCCTCCTCCTCCTCCTCCTCCTCCTGCTCCTCCTCCTCCTCCTCCTCCTCCTCCTCCTCCTCCTCCTCCTCCTCCTCGTCCTCCTCGTCATCCTCGTCCTCCTCCTCCTCCTCCTCGTCCTCGTCCTCGCCCTCCAGCGGGCGTCCCCCTCCGCCTTGTGCCCCGCCTCCACCTCCTACACGTCCCGGCCGCCCGCCTCCCAGTCCTGCTCCTCCCTGTCTCCTCCAGCGGGCGGCGCCCGACCCAGTAGACCTCCCCAGTCCCCCGCCCACTAGGATGTTTCCCAACCATCCTGTGGTGTTGAGTCCTCGTTTTGAAGAGATAGCGCCCCGCGTTCTCACTCATCCTCCTGCTCCTCCCCCTCATCCCCCTCCTCCCGCTCCTCTCATCCCTTGCGCCCCTCACACGTTTCGTGGCCACACATGGAGCTTTACCGAAGGCCCCAGTGGCAGGGTTCGCATGCAGTTCCACCTTCAATTTGGGCATACCACTCACACGATTCGTGGCCACACAAGGATCTCCACCGAAAGCTCCAGTGGCAAGGTTCGAATGCGGTTCAACCCCCATCTTGGCACACCCCTCACACGTGTCGTGGCCGCACAGGGAGCTCCACCGAATGCCTCACTTGCATGGTTCGTATGCGGTTCCACCCCCATCTCGGTACACCCCCCACACGTTTCGTCGCCCTGTAGGGAGCTCGTCCGAAGGCCGCAGTGGCAGGGTTCGCATGCGGCTCCCCTCCATTTCGGCACCACTCACACGTTTCGTGGCCTCATAAGAAGCTCCACCGAATGCCCCAGGTGACGTGGTTCGCATGCGATTCCACCCTCAGTTCCGGCACACCCCTCACACGTTCCGTGGCCCAATAGGGAGCTCCACCGAAGACCCCAGTGGTAGGATTCGCATGCGGTTCCACCCCCCATTTTGGCACACCCCTCACACGCTTCGTGACCCCATAGGGAGCTCCACCGCAGACCCCAGTGGCAGGGTTCGCATGCGGTTCCACCCCCCATTTCGGCACACCCCTCACACGATTCGTGGCCCTGTAGGGAGCTCAACCCAAGGCCCCAGAGGCAGGGTTCGCATGCGGTTCCACCCCTCCGTGCTGGCACACCCCTCACACGCTGCGTGACCCCATAGGGAGCTCCACCGAAGGCCCCAGTGGCAAAGTTCGCATGCGGTTCCACCCCCATGCCGGCACACAACTCAAACGTTTCGTGGCCCCACGAGGAGCTCCACAGAAGGGCTCGGTGTAAGGGTTCGCATGCGGTTCCACCCCTCGTTTCGGCTCACCTCTCACACCCTTGGTGACCCCATTGGATAGCTTCCACCCTCCATTTCGGCACACCCCTCACACATGTCGTGGCCCCCTAGGAAGCTCTACCGAAAGCCACAATGGCACAGTTCGCGTGCGGTTCCACTCCTGATTTCGGCATGCGCTCACGCTTCGTGGCCCCGTAGGAAGCTCCACCGAAGGCTCCAGTGGCAAGGTTCGCATACAATTCCTACCCTGATGTCAGCACACCCCTCACACGTTCCGTGAGCCCATACAGAACTCCACCTAATTCCCCAATGGCAAGGTTCGCATATGGTTCCACCTCCATTTCAGCGTACCCCTCAAACGCTTCGCGGCCTCACAAGGAGCTCACATGCGGTTCCACCCTCATTCCGGCACACTCCTCACACGTCGTTTCACCCCCATGGCAGGGTTAGCATGCCGCTCCCCCTCCATTTCGGCACCACTCACACGCTTCGTGGCCCCATGAGGAGCTCCACCGAAAGCCCCAGGTGCCATGGTTCGCATGCGGTTCCACACTCAGTTCCGGCACACCCCTCACACGTTCCGTGGCCCCACAGGGAGCTCCACCGAAGCCGATACTAACAACGGCGGCACCCACAACTGCACATGGCCGGCGCTGGGCCCTCGTCACTGGCGCGCGGAGCGAGCCAAAGACGGCGCCGAAGGCGCCGCTTAGGCGAGCCAGCGCCGATCCCGGGCCAGCAGGGGTGCTTCCGCCGCAGGCAATCCGCCATCATTGAAGGGGCCCTGGGACACACAAATAAATACACACAAATAAAAGGATTCCCCATTTTTCCCCATATTTTGTGGGTTTCTGTCTCCCCCCCCACTGCCTATATTTTCTTATATTTTCTAGGGAATCGACGATGAATTGTGTCTGTATGTTTCTTCTCCTCCTGAACCATGCCCTCGGGTCCTTTGCCCAGTCCCCCGAGCCTCCGTCCTCCCTCCTGGGGAGCTTCTTGGGGGCCCTGACCAAAAAGTGCCCAATCCCTCGGGCCTTCCCGCGTACCCCCCTGGGGTTTGGCGCGCTTCGCCGCGTGGGTTTCTCGGGCCCACGAGGACCCCCCGACGGGCCCCGAGGGGTCCAAGAGGCATCCAAAACGGCCGAAGACGGCCTCGAGTCGCTGAGCGATGGGCCCAAGACGCCCAAAATGGCCCCCAGAGAAGCCCAGGGGCCCCCGAGACGCCCCAGAGATCTCAAAAAGGCCTCCCAAAAGCATGAATGTGTTCTTGGTTCGCGTTCGCGCCTGTTGGCTTCCCCACGCTCCAAGACGGCCAAGAGGCCCGCAAGACCGCCCAGAGATGGCGCAAGAGGCCCCCAAGAGGGCCCCAAGACGGCCCAAGCGGGCCGCAAGACGACCCCCAGAGAGGCCCCAGGTTAGGACCACGAACAGAAACATCGAGCGCTCAGCCTTGAGAGGCTTCCAGGAGTTCCATTCGGGCCCCCCAGATGCTCCCAAGAGGCCCCCAGGAGGCCCGAAGGGGCCTCCACATGAGCCCAACGAGTCCCCAAGAGGCACCCAAACGGCTTCCAAGAGGTCGCAAAGCTGCCGCATGCAGGCACCCGAGACGCCTCCCACGAGTTCCCTCTTGAGGCATAACGACTTCAACTCTCACGCTGGCTTCAGCGGAACATGACTGTCACTAATGGAGGCACGCAGCCGACAAGCCTTGAGTGATACTTGGCCGGTGCCGCTTCGAGCGCACAGACGACATGCCTCAAGTGGTACTGGTCTGGTACCATCTGAGGCACATGGACGACATGCCTGAAGCGGTACTTGATCGGTACCACTTGAGGCATGCAGATGGCATACCTCAAGTGGTACTTCTGTGTCGCACATTGAGGAGCACAGACGATACGCCTGAGATTGCACTTTGCTCTCATCACTTGGTCCACACAGACGACATGTCTCAATTCAGACACCTGCGTTGCCACTTGAGGCTTACGCGCAACATACTTCAAGTGGAATTTCTGTTCACGAATGACGGCGATGACCATGACACTGACGACGGTGAGGGTGACGGTGTCAACGGCATCGTTTCTCTACGAGAACTCACAGCAGAAATCATGCAGGGACATATCCCCTCTTCCTGAGCACGACTAAATGGGCACGCCCGCTTCACACGAAGACCAGGAACGCTCTCGCACTGACCGAATCGCAAGTCAGTGCATGGACTCGTAGATGCAGGTTTTGGATATAAGCGTTCTGGCTCTGACGTAGCACTATTCGAGCCCAAATGCTACAGACAATCCGACAGCTGAAACTTCGACTCATTTGGCGACGGAGGATGCCAACATACGGGGATGAACAGACCCCCCTTTGGTAAAACGTGGTTTAGTGAAAACGACCTGAGGCCCAAACCTGGCGGGCGCAAGCCTGGAAAATAACGGCCGCGGAGCCCTCTCGGGAATCGAAAACGGACAATGCACTAATCGACATGTCACTGCTGGGGGGGACTGTCCACCCCTGATACTCTGGATTTCACGATAAAGGGAGGGGTTACATTTGGGGGGTCTGGTTCAAGCTGTCTTGGCCAGAGGGGGGCGGGTTCATCCCCGACGGGGGCAGGTCATCCCCGACGGGGGGGGCCATCCCCGACGGGGGGGGTGTCTGAAGTGGCTTGTCTTGGAGTTTTGTACCCATTCGAGAACCGAAAACGGATAATTCACTAATCGACGTGTCACCGTTGGGGGGCCTGTCCGCCCCCGAAGCAGCATGCTCCGCCGCTGGGCACGGAGGAGGGCGTGGCCGCAGGTCCTGGGCCCAACCCTTTGAGCCTCCATCCTCACTCCTGAGGCGTCTTCATGGAAGGGGAACTGGGACACGCAAATGAAATAGGCACAAGTAGCCAGCTCCCCCATATATTTTTTCATCTATATGTTCTGAGTTTTTGTCTTCCCCCCCCCCCACTCCCCATATCTTCCCATATGTTTGGGGGAATCGACGATTCATTGTGTCTGTGTGTTCGTTTCCCTCCTGAGGAGTCTGGGCCCCTCGCCCTCAAATCCTCTTGGCCTCCGCGCGTCGTTCCTCGTGCCTTCGTCGAGCCCAGGGGGGCCCGAAGCCACGACCCAGGCACGGTGGCGGCAGGGGCCGCAGGCCACTGGATCCGCCGCCCCCTAAAATCTATAGATAATTAATACCTTCCTGAGTTTTAAAATACCCCAAAACTGAAATTAACACTGTCGATTCATCGCAGGGGTGCCTGGCGTGCTGGACCTCTCGGCTTTGGTTTTGGGCTCTTTTTTCCGAACTCCCCCTGGCGCCTCGGCCCGTCCCGCCGGGGTCCCGGGAGGCCCTTCCAGGAGCGCAGAGTCCAGAACAAATCCTCCAAGACGGCTCCAGATGGCGCCCAAGATGGCCAAGATGGTCTCCAAGATGGTCCAAGATGGCCTCCAAGTCCGCCCAAGATGGTCCAAGACGGCCTCCAAGACTGCCCAAGAGAGTCCAAGACGGCCCAAGAGGCCCCCCAGAGGCCTCCAAGACGGCCCAAGAGACCTCCAAGAGGTCCTCCAGGAGGGCCCGAAGATGCCAAAATCATTGATTTTCCTTAGGTTTTTGAAGGATTTTGGGATTTGCTTCTTCTCGGCATTCCGACGGCTCAA